CTCTTATATGAGCCCTGTGATCTGAAGAAATCAATGAAGCATCCATCACACCTACTCCACAGAGACGAGAAACTAACGCATTTTTTCAACCATCAGTTCATTCAAAGGAAGGATCCATACCTGTGAGTAATTTGCTTTTGCTCTTCATTTCTCGGTAGAAAGTAGTATTGAAATGATGCCCGCTCCCGCTTTAAGGCACGCTGCCTTTGTGTAAAAAGAAAGCATTAGATTTCGGGCAGAACTGTACTAAAAGTATCATTGTATAAGGCACTCGCCATTTGGGACAATGATTTCTATGGGATTTGCTGCATCATAACATTTTCTTTATGTATTGTGTGGATTTTTCAAACTCTCCTAAATTAGCAATAGAAATGGTCCAGTATGGATGGTTGGTTCGATTACCATGAAGTTGTGACGTACATTAGGTATGGTCGAAATTGAATTCTTCCGGTGCTTTATTTTTTCCCTTTATTACTGAGCAGCGTCGACGCCGACGTTGGCGTCTTTCAATCGACCGGTTCGTCGCTCAAAGGTTACCCATGCCGAGCTAGCACAGCGTAAAAAAGAAAGATTGGGGGGGGGGGGGGGGGGGGTGAAGATTTGTGAATCTGTTATTGTTATTGTAAACAGAGCCATTTAATCTTGGTCTAGAACGAGCCAACCCTCGAGTGAATTGCAGAATTCTGGTCACTTTACTGCAACAGCTTTATTAGGCTTACTGTTTTGTTTATTACATTGTTGGGAAACTTGGTGACGATGTTCTACGACCGTTCGTTTCCGTTTATGCTTTGTGGACGTGCGTTGAGATATCCTTTGGGTCGGACCGCTAACTCTGGCAGGATTTCACTTCGAAAAGTGTCCGACTGCATATATGGTGGATTTTATCTTATCCTACATTTTACCTTAACTGAATTACGGCGCAAAACTTTGTTATTACCTTATTGTTATCGTAAAGGTATGCTGGGGATCTATTGATACCTCATTCGGCATGGGAGGAGAATCCACCCACAATAATAGTTCAAGAAAAAATGGAACAACCAAGCTCCAATCGTATCAAACCTCTGAACCTTGGTCCTCTAGTGAACAAAGCGCAGAAAATAGATAGCTACGGTAAAAAAGGTTAGTCTTGCTTAAACTTGCCCGCTAAATTTTCCATGTGTAGGGTTAGGCGGTACAGTTGTATGAACGCATGCCCTGATTTCGTGCGTAGCCTTCCGCGTAAAAATATAGCTGGGGCACCGGTCTTTCTCAACATTGAGTCTAGAGCGTAGAGGAGGACTGGTTTCGAGAACTTTATAATGGTGCTTGGGAACGAACCAAAGAAATAAGGTTTTTTTTNTTTTTTTTTTCATGCAAGCCTTTGGAAAGAAGGAGCATCGGGGTGTATGTCACTGAATTTACAATGCTTACCTCACCTTACCTTTTTGCATGAGGTAATCTTCTCATCCACTCCGGTGCTCCTCTCCTTTTAAAAGGTAGGGGAAGCTAGATTCCTCTGGCTAATAATTGTCTTTAAGCAAAGGTAACGTCTGCAATATATCCTATCTGCGCTCTAGCGCTCAGTATTGGAAAAGAGCGGAGAGCCTCCTCTCAATNTTTTTTTTTTCATGCAAGCCTTTGGAAAGAAGGAGCATCGGGGTGTATGTCACTGAATTTACAATGCTTACCTCACCTTACCTTTTTGCATGAGGTAATCTTCTCATCCACTCCGGTGCTCCTCTCCTTTTAAAAGGTAGGGGAAGCTAGATTCCTCTGGCTAATGATTGTCTTTAAGCAAAGGTAACGCCTGCAATATATCCTATCTGCGCTCTAGCGCTCAGTAATGGAAAAGAGCGGAGAGCCTCCTCTCAATCACATTTTCACTGATTTCGGATCGCAATCACTTCAGCATCCTATTTTCCGATATTCTCTTCTCCCCATTCGCTGGGCCGTTTAACGAAGTCACTACCACGACAAATCCACTGACCTACGGCAGTATCTTAGCATCAAGTCGTGAGACTGTAGTGGGTTGTACAAAATTGTCGATTAAAAGACACAGTTCACGATAAAAATGGTTTCTGGGGTTCTCCTATAGGATGAATTAGAGTTTTCCTTGTATACCATAGCTGGCGCTACTATTTCGGAAAACGGCTGACATTGGCTGCACCGATCTCAAGAAAATCCATGTGGGAAGAGCAAATAACTTGTCATGGCCCATAGCGACAGTGAAAGACAGGGGTATGTGTACGAACGTGCGTCCGAGGATGCGCGCGGCTAATTGCGCGGCAAAGTTCGTAACGATTCGAACGACTTTGTTGCCTATCATTGGGGCCCAAATTTGAAGTTGAGTAGATTAGAAGGACCATCTGACCATACTAAACTACTCTACTTTGAATTTGTGTCCCGAAAATTGGCGTCAGAGTCGTACAAATCATCACGAACTTCGCCGCGCAGGTTGCCGCGCGCATCCTCGGACCGTCCCCCGAAAGACAGTTCTGTATAGTTCTGGCTTGATGTAGTCACCTATTTGCGCAATTGCAATAACCGAAATCTCGTCCGAATATCCCTTGCATGTTATTTCCGCCATGGTAATCTCGTCCAACCGTTGTTTTCCCTACTTTTCTAAATTTTTCTCGGAATCGGCAAATACTCTCGCTTTCTCAACTACCGATGAACCATTCTCAACCTATATTTCCGCTTTTCGAATAAAAATGGGTAATAAATGTACCTCGAAATTTTTGTGAACTGTGCCTTCGACATCGAGTGTAATCTAGCATAACCTAATTGACTTGAAGCTAAACTCCCGCCGTAAGCCAGCGAACTCGTCACAGAGGTCTTTGCAAGCTTATGTGGCTCTGTAAATTTGATGGCAATGGTCCTGTAGAAAGTACACCCATTCGTAGAGATCTTTCCTCTCTTGGACTCAAGTTCTAACAGTGAGCCTCATGGCGAAGCGATGGTGGCGCTCGGTTGTTTCTCTGTTTCGCCCATCGCTAACACCATGCGTCTTTTCATTCGTACAAATCAGTCGAATCTGCAGTGCAGCGATCGCCCATTCTGAAGAGTTCTTGTCCTACTTTATATAATTCGCTAAGTGTGTCTGTTGGTGTGTCGGTGTGTTTGTGTGTGTGTCGGTGTGTGTGTTTGACCGGAAATTCATAACTCCTGTCTCCGTGGACCTAGAGCGTTCATATTTGGTAGGAGTAAGGGAGGCAGGATGGGAACACCTTTGGTAAGTGGCAGGACCGGACTCCGTTCACAGGGAGCGCAACGTGCGCTTTAGAAACTTTGGGCCGCACATTCATAGCTCCTGTCCCCGTGGACCTAGAGCGTTCATATTTGGTAAGAGTAAAGGGGGCAGGATGGGAACACCTTTGGTAAGTGGCAGGACCGGACTCCGTTCACA